TGCAGACCTGATCACCGGAATACCACCTGATGCCCCACGCAGTATAACCGATTATGCAAATGACTTGCGGAACAAAATGAATGACATTTATGAGCACGTCAGACAGACGGGCCAGCAAACGTCTGAGAAGATGAAAACACGGTATGACCGCAAAATGAACAACAAGGGGTTTGATGAAGGTTCACTAGTGTGGTTACACAATCCAGTTCGCAGCAAAGGAAAATCTCCTAAACTTCAAGCTAAATGGGACGGACCGTACCGGATTGTGACAAGGATCAATGATGTAACCTACCGGATGCAGAAAGGTGCCAGAGGTACTCCTAAGATTGTCCATGTGGATCGACTGGCGCGTTATTATGGGGCCAATAATGCTCGGGACGAGCATGTCTTAGGAGGGGGCAGTGTTACGCGCCACTATTAATGTCTTGTACATGGCAACACTAGTTACACTAGCGCCCTCTAGTGTCGAGTAAAAGAAAGTGTTGCGCGCCACTATTAATGTCTTGTACATGGCAACACTAGTTACACTAGCGCCCTCTAGTGTCGAGTAGCAGAACTAGGAGAGTCGAGATCCTTTCAGAAATTTCGGGACCGATATGTACTCGAACATTCTAGATGTCGCTACAGTAGAAGGTTCTGGAAACTATCTGAGGCCCTATATAAGGCCGGTATGGACCACGACCAGGGCAGTATTGAATTGGCGATACAAGAGAATACTTCGAAGCGAAATAACGGCGAACTGTGATTTATTATTAGTGTCTAATCTAAAATCAGATTGTAATTAGTGTTGTGTAATTAAAGTGTCAATTTTGGTAATTCAATCCGCAGTTTATAATTGTCTCGAACCCCAAGCTCGTTATATTTGTGTATATTATTTATAGGTTTTTCTTCTGAATAAATGACATATAAATGATAAGGCCTCCTTTTTATCAGTTTATTTTTTTTATTTACATGTCTAACTAATATTCACAAATTATTTAAAAAAAGTTATATATATGGTGTAATCAAAATAGGGCTTTCTATTCTACGCGTCAATATGAACAAATTTTACTATAGATGTATCTTCCTAATCGCAAGAAAAATCAGGTCTTCCATACATTTTGAGCAAGTTTGTACGAAATTTTGTATGGAATAACTGACTTTGAGATATTTTTTATAGGATCAGGGTGACAAACGAGCACTCAGTCCACCTGATGGTAAGTGGTTGATGTAGCCCATAGACATATACATCTATCCTCGGTTAAGAATCAAAATGCAGATGCGTTGCAACCCCTGAGGACTAAGATAGAATGACTCGTTTCCAGTAAAAAGGGTCTCCGGTTCTCTACACACACCATAGGAAACACAGCAGTGTTAAGCTCCTATTTTACACTGGTATTCTGTGAGAGCGTGGTCCATCCCCGATCGAGCTGACCCATTCGTGCTACAACTATACCAGTAATATAACTGCAGTATCGGTCTATCGCGTATAAATTGAACATTTCGAAAATGATCCCATAATAAAAAATATTCATGTTGACGGGCAGAATCATTCCCTAAGTTATTAAGTACTATTTTTTTACACTTTTAGGTAGTATATAAGACTGGGGAAAAAGTTTCTTCGTATATTGTATACAATATCAAGACGTTTTTGTTTTAAAGTTTTATTACATTTAATTATAATATATATGGGTCCATTCTGTTCGATAATTTGTTACCATCTTGTAGGTAGTGACATAATAAAAAATAAACGTTGCTGTAGAAATCTTGGGATTTTGATTAAAAAAATGTGACAACTAGTTTTAATTCATATATTCAATACCAGAGATTTGAAGGAACATGGATTTAGTCATCCTATTTATAATGGAAAAAAATTATAAACTTAAATATTAAAACCTTCAGAAAGCTTTCTTTTAAAAAACACAAGCAACAAAAGAAAATAATGACTAAAACTTTTAAACCAGTTTTAAGTACTCAGAAAAAAATCACGTTTCTTGTATGGTCTTCATACAAGAAACGTGATTTTTTTGGGTCCTTTAATATTTTACTTGTTTTCTTTTTTATTTTATGTTGTTATAGCAGCAATATAAATACACATTCTGTGAAAATTCTACATATTACGGTTCATAAGATACAGCCTACTGACAGACAGACGGGACGATAGTGGAGACTTGGGTCCCGTTGATTCGGTCCTCTTTGGGTACGGAACCCTAATAAATGGCAATTATGTCATTTGAGCAATACTATAGAAATAAACATTAAATAATATAGAATTAGGTTATATTATAATAAGTTTAATATATTATATTATAAAATATAGTAACAATAAATTCACATATAAAAATCTCAGCCACGGGGAACTTTATTTTTGCATTCGCGGCAACACTGAATAGCGTCATTGATATTTTGTGACCTATTTATGGCTCGTGTTGTTTTATGTTAAAATTTCGAAATTATATGATAGTATGTGACTCCAGTGTCTTTCTTATTTCTTGTAGTATTATTTTTACACAGTTTCAATACGTAAACTGGTATTTTACTTCGGATTATGATCAAAATTTAATAAAACATTCGGTATGTTGTCACCATGAAGCTAATACAAAAAACTTTGTATTTGCTTCATGGTTGTCACACATTGCCTGCAACGCGACTGGCTCGGGTACGCCGATTTCGGCGTAGTATTTGTTGCCGCATTTTACATGAGCGCCGGCGGTATCCAGTCAGAGCGCGCGATGACTTATCATTATTAATCTATGCACATTTCTGTTAGGAATCGTATTTCGGGTTTATTTGTTGTTTACACTATGTGCCTATTTCTTACGAACGAAGAATCGCGATTCCCGACGTATGGCCTTGCAAGTTGCATGCGTTAGGCTTAGGTATCACAGAAGCAGAACTCACATAGTAATATGGTCGATCACAATTAGAATAGGTTACTCTACCCTTAGGTAGAGTAACCTATTCTGATTATTACTATTATATACTTACTATAAATTTCGCAATGTATTTTTTACTCTTTATCAACAGCCCTCAGTAAAACACGGAAAGTTCGTTGTGTTGTAGGAAGGAGAAAAGATCCCAAGTAATATGGACACTCGCAATTAATAATAACTATATAGGCTATTAAAACTTCGGGAAGCATTAAATATCAAAGGAGTGCAACTTCTGTACGGAATACTATATATGGGAACGATTTGTAGCAGGGCTCGGAAACGTTAATAAAAAAACTTTTTTAAAACGTTTGGGACGGTTCCTTGTATAACATTACGTTCGGAACAAAAACAAAATAAGAACGTAATGTGAAAATGTAAAAAACGGTTTATTCCGCAGGAAGCTAAATGAATGGCACGTGCCACGACAAGTTTAAACCTATAAGGTATTTTTGTTTCGTATTGCAGGACCAAAAATGGGAAAAACGGTTTAAAATAGTTAAAACGTTTTATTGAACAAGAACAATTTAATATTCCGTTCTCTTCATAAACGTTTTTATTATGATTCCGTTCAAACATAATCGAAACAAATAAGTTTTTAGGTATTTAAGGCGAAAACGTTTCGAAAAATATAGGTACCGCTATCCGAAAAAGATCCGTTATGCGTTTGGCCATCGGTCTTATCACCGGTTTGGATTTTTTACATCTGATACTAAGAGATAATATATACTGCCATTTCTTGGTACTCAAAAGGCTTTTCAGCTTTTCCCATAGAGATGAGGTAATGGATACTCCTACGCCGCCAACACTTCACAAGATGATGCTAGTTTTGAGGAATTCTCTGCTGATCTTGTGTTCTGCCACGTATAATACTTGATGACTTTCGTTTTAAAGTTAAAGTTACAGCCTATATATACGTCTGCTGGACACAGGCCTCCTCTCATTTCTGAGAGGGTTTAAGGCAAGGAAGTGTCCGCCGCGCTGCCCTAATTCGTGTCTGCGAACTTCACATTGTATTCGAAATATATGTTCTTTCTTATTTCTCAGACATGCAGGTTTACTTCACGGACGAGTACGATTTACCATCAGCACTTAAAATTGCCAACCGAAATTTAAATGGTGAATCTCACCATCATCCATCACAGTTAACTACCGTAGGAAAATCTTTGTTTCAGAGAGCACGAGGGATTTTTGTGACAGTAAATATCTGGCCGCCGAGCTTCAGCACGTCGACCTACGTCATAGTGACCGAGTGAAGCCGGCCGAAACTGTGCCTACTGTACTACCCTATGTCAGACAGTCACAGACAAGGTTGGCTACATCTTGAAGCGAGCTTCCATTTAAACATACTTCAAGCTGCCCACGAAGATTAGTCAATTTTTATCATCTGTCAAGTGAATATCCCTCTACAAGATGCAGGAGTGTACTAGCTTAATTGCGAATGTGGTCTCCCTTATCTTACATAAGACAAACGAAAAGATCTATTAAAACCCGCGTGAAAGAACATATAGCTGACGTGAGGCACCGACGCTCTGGGAAGTCTGCAGTCTGTGAACATGCATAAGATCGTCCAGCCATTACATCAGATTTGATAGACCATAAATCCCCGCAAAATAACACAGATTCCTACCAAGGAATCTCCGTGACCATGGGTTCCTGTAAAGTTTTATTTAATACAATTATCCAATTGTTTCTAATTATTATACGCGATTCACTTTTCATCTTATCCATCCATTATAACCTTTAAAAGTGCAGTGATAATGATAAACATATGCCTCCTCCATAGATTGCCTCATAGGATTTTGCTAGCTCTGGGTAGGCAACCGTGGTATTTTATTATATGTCGCCCCTTATGACACCCACGGGACATTGGACATTCTTACATCACCACTACACGTTTGGTTTTATCTCATATTATAATCATATTCTTAACCGGTAATCATCAGCTCACGAAGAAGAAAGCTAATTTTGTCGCTTTTCTATCAGAATTAAAATATATTCCGTTGTGTGAAATCAATGAAGTTAAAAAAAACGACCTGAAAACGATATTTTTTAAATACATTTATTAATTGCCTGACATATATTCAACTATTACAATGCAACCGGACGGGTCCTTACAACGGTGTTGTTACTGTATGGAGCGACCGAAACCTCCAAGATCCAGTCCGTGAACCGGTCGATCCTTGTGAACACATTAGGATACACGTCAGTGTTGCACTCGTCGAAATAAGAAGCGAGACCGACGACGACTTGGTTGATGACCATCGGGGCACCGTGATCGCCCAAGCAAGTGCTAATTTGACCTCCCTCACTGGCACAGATCACGCCTGCAGTAACAGAAACAAAAAGGATTTAATTATTTATAAGTTTAAAATTATTTACCTAAATCGTTTGCCCTGTTACGCCGGTGTAAAAGAATGCACCAGCCCATTTGATATAGGTTATAGGTGTTATGATTATGATTTCTGACAGACGGTGGTACAAACAACGTTTACGTCAGGCGTGAATATACGGAGAGCAACGTCAAAGATCAAAGAACACGACGTCTGGTACGAAAGTTGAAATGCGTCTGTCAAGCGTGGCGTTTATGACCATTCCTCCTTAAAATAGAAGAGGCCCGTGTTTAGCACTCACCCTGTGGCACCGTGTGTAAAAGAGCAGCCTATTTCGTCACACGGTTAGTGGCGACTTTGGCTTATACCATACAGATGTTAAGGCTTCCAATAGAGGGCGGTATAAACAACGTTTATACCAGGCGTAAAATGAGTCGCGACTGAGAGGAGCAGCGTTAAGGTTAAAGCTCCAGGGTGGCCCGCGAAATTCAAATTTTCTTACGTTTTTTGAAATTTGCAGGTCAGGGTCAGGTTGCATGTTTAACAAAATATGATTCGCGACCGTAACGAGTATATGTTTACAGAATTATTATCATTAAAATCACCAATACAACTCTCTAAGGTCATATTATCCCTTTGAATGAGTTTTTCTGGAAATAGCCATACAATGGGATTATACGAACTTAAAGGGTTGTATTGATGATTATAATGATTATGATTCTGTAAATACGTACTCGTTACGGTCGCGAATCATATTTTATTATACATACAACCTGACACTGACATACAAATTGCGAAAAACGTAAGAAAATTTGAACTTCGCGGGTTACCCTGACGCTTTCACCTTAAGTGTGCGGGTTCAGGAGGGTTAACCAAGATATAAAAAATTATAGTTTTCTATAGCGTTAACGAATGTTGAATTATGATAATTCCACTCAAAAACGGAGGGGGTCCATCATCATCATCATCAACGGACTTTAACGGACTGATTATAAAGAAGATATTTATCTAAAACTAAAAGCCTGCACAAATAAAATCTGTAAGTAGAATATCCGCAGTAGAACCAGAGTAAACGATGTAGCCGAGGGATCAATAAACTAAAGGAGAGTTTTTTTTTTATTGAAGTAAAGATGACTTACGTGTTCCCACCCCAGAAGCGACCACGGACGAATTCAATATAATCGGATTACTTTGATTATTTAAAATTTGGAAAATAAATTAACCTAAAAGCCAACACTCACGGTCATCAATAACAACGCCGTCCTTGTCTGCGTAGTCAGCTAGACATTTGTCCAGGACCACCTTCCTTAGATTGATCGTTTGCAAAGTTTCCACTTGCGGACCGTCCATCTACAAAAAGGTTTAATTAAAAATGAAACCGATCTTCATTATTTTTTTCATTACAGTCTATCAAAAGTCCACTGCTAAACATAGGCCTCTCCCATAGAGTGATATTTGTCATAATTGCTACGCTTAGCAACTGCAGTTTTATTATTTAGAATTGTTAATAGAAAGATGCTGATGCCCATCTCATGTTTGATTTCCCTCTGTGGTATTTTACGACACCTACGGGAGGGATGACATGGGATAGCATATTCTGTTACACCGCCACTAGACAGCGGACACTGTTTTTATTCTATAATTAATTATTATTCTATATTATATTCTATATTGAAAATTAAAAAAATGAAAGGTCAAATGGCTATGTAATAAGTATAATACAGTACTGATTGTAAAGTCCAAGACAATGGTTGAACATTAGATGAGATGAGAGAATGCGTCGACGCGCGTCGTTGGCTCCTTGGTAACGCGCTATATATAATTGTACCATATGATTGTACCTACTATGTCTTTGTGCGTATACTATTTTCTGTTTTACACGAGTATAATGGTGCATTTATCGTCCATATATTACTATACCGTCCGCGGACGTGATCGCGGTCAGTCAAATTTTAATAATTTTTCTACATACTTATTAAGCTTTGGATATCGATTTAGTTTTCTAAGGCACCTTTCACTACACAGTTAATAGGTACCTAATTATTCATTGATCCGGCCTATGAGGTTCTCAACTCGACTGGAATCAGGCTCTGGCTCGTGCATCCTTCCCTACCGCACATAATAATGTATATAGTGTTCTCTGTCATGCTTTACTTTAAAATAAAATTATTGAAACGTTAAATCGATTTGTAAAGTCAACCATATACCATTTAGTAAAGTTGCAGCCTATTTACGGCTCACTGCTGAGCACAGGCCTCCTCTCATTTCTGAGAGGGTTTTAAGGCAAGGAAATGTCCGCCGCGCTGCCCCAATGCGTGTTGGCGAACTTCACATGTCTTCGAAATTTTTTTTCTTATTTCTCAGATATGCAGGTTTCCTCACGATGTTTTCTTTCACCGTTGAGCACGTGGTAAATCAGCACTTAAAATTGCAATTAACAATTTCATTGGTGCCGGCGGGGATCGAACCCGGGTTTCTCGAGCACTGTGAAGCTTACAGCAAGCGCTAACCATCTGAGCTACCACGGCTATATACCATATATATACTATATACCATATGTACTTTTGTAGGAAAAAGAATGAGGGTAAATTACTGTATCAGTTTACCTGTTTACACCTTGTAGACAGGTATTGTTGCATGGAAAAAAGTAGTCAACCATCTTGTGGCATTTTCCATATATTGTTTTTTTTCGGTTGAGAATTTTATCAAGGAAAAGAATAACCGTAACCAGTAAAAAAATTTTGATAATTTTTAATTAAAAATAGCCTTACCAAAATAGGTTGTCAGTCACCCCGATTTCTATATATTTATATATTTTATTATAAAAAAAAAAAGATTTCATCAAGGAAAAGAATGAGGGGGTATTTTTTTAAGCCGGATCCTCTACTATTAAAAAAGGTTAAATAATTAAACGTTAAAAGTAATGTCACCGTTTTTAGGATGGGACCATAGAATTATAATTCTATGGACAGGACATTATTTATGTTACAAACATACGTACTTTGTGGCATATCTATACAATAAATGTTTCATTCCTTTAATATTACTTTTGGATTTAGGTACTATAAAGAAATGTCACTTTCTTACATTCTTCTGCAACAGCCAGTAGTAACCCACGACAGGACCTTTTTTAAAGTGTGCTAACTGGAATGCCTGACTGACAAGATTTGCTAATACTCGCCACGCTACGCTGGGCAGACTGGCTAGCGCAGAACCGGTACCATGGTGATGCTGCTACTATCACCAGTCTATAGGATTTTTCGACACTGGTTGGTCCTCAGAGCTTATTAACTGGATGCACCCTTACAAACTAATTATGTGTAGTGTCGTGTAACCCCCACGACAATATACTCGTATATTATATAGTATTAAGGTACAATACATCTCCTTCTCATTGACACCTTTCCAAACATAACATATGTGGATATATTGGGTCACATACATGTACAATACAATCACAAAAGGGTACAATCACATAATAGAGTATTGGGTTCAGGGAAGAAAGTGTGGCCGCGTCCTAAAAATAAGTCGATGAAATGAAATGAAACGAAAACTCTGTATTTTTCGCGGTAATAAATTAAAACTAATTACATTTGTCAAGTCACAATATGTATTTTAATCTTCTACCGTATCAAAATTAACCACACTATCAAAATGAACTACTACAGTATCAAACTGAAGTTCCTCGGTTCGGAAATAAAACGGCGAAATAAACTCTTTTTAGTTACCATTTTAGGCGAAATAACTGACCTCAATAAGACTCAGGAGGTTATTTACATTCTGTTTAAACATGAATAACCAAAATAAAAGCAAGTCGTAAAATTAAAAATTTTATACAACCGACTTCAATATAAATAAAATTAGAACATCATCATATATTCAAAGTCTATTAAATACACATTATTAAGGAAGACTCAAAAACTACTGGTCAGATCTTGATCAAATTTATATGGGACCACATTATATAGAACCACAAGCTTTCAAATAAGAAAAAGAATCACCTAAATCGGTTCACCTAGAAAAAAGTTCTAAAGTAACACACATAAAAAAAATACAATCGAATTCGAGTTCGAGAACCTCCTCCTTTACAACGTACCGATTCAAAGCCCCAGCCGACGACCTTCAAACTTTGTCCATCAGGGATGTGGGTGCCTTGCGGCGGCAGGAACAGCACGTTGATGGTGTCGGAGATGCCGAGCGGAGCCTCCAGCACAGCGATAGCGATGTCGGCGGTGCGTGGACTTTGCTGGTAGTCAGGGTGCTTAATCACGTCGCGGATATTTACAACCGTTCCACCGGACATGATGTTTGTGGAGCCAGCGCGAACTTGCATGTTCGACAGGACCGCGCCGCTGAATAAAAATATTGAACTTTTATTACGAATAATAATATTAAAAAAGTTTTCTAGGAATTATGAATCTCTCTTTGTGTAGCTACATACACGTCTAATTACGGGAGTAGCTTAATAATTCGAAAGTTTGAAGAACTACTTTAGAGAAAATTTTAAAGAAATAAATTATTAACTTTGTCCTCAATATATTTACGAAAATTTAATGTATGTACACAAAAACAAAAATAGTTTTATTAAAAATAGTAACCTACATTCTGTAAACACTAGGAACAAGTACAAGTTAGTTATACCAGATACTAGACTCCAAGAAGTCAGTAATTCCTTCATAGGGCAATGTATACCTACGCTTCAACAAAGTTCCAGAAAATATACAGACAATATACAGGCTGAAAATATTGAATAATCAAAAACTGATTAGTATGGGAGAGCAAATGATTGATAAAAACCCTGGGAATGAGGTGATCGCTACCATGCTGTCTAAATGTTTTCATAACAATTGTATAAATATTATATTGTAAAATAAGCTTTTAAAAACAAGTCCCGCTGGGTTTCTTGCTGGTTCTTCCCAGGACAGAGATTTGTTGCAAACCAGTGGTAAATGTAAACAAAGCGGCCAAGTGCGAGTCGGACTCGCCCATGAAGGGCTCCGTAGCAGCAAGTAAAATAATTTACGATTTATCTCTCGTCCAAACCAAATTTCGGTGGAAGTTTACATAGTGTTGTACATCATATTTTTTTTTAGTTTTATCATTCTCTTATTTTAGAAGTTACAGGGGGGGAGGGTACACACGTTTTACCACTTTGGAAGTATCTCTCGCACAAACTACTCAGTTTAGAAAAAAATGATATAGGAAACCTCAATATCACTTTTGAAGACCTATCCATAGTCTGGGTTTGATCAAAAAATTTTTTTTTCAGTTTCACTACTAAGTATGGGGAACCCCCAAAATTTATTGTTTTTTTTTTCTATTTTTGTGTGAAAATCTTAATGCGGCTCACAGAATACATCTCCTTACCAAGTTTCAACAGCATAGTTCTTATAGTTTCGGAAAAAATGGCTGTGACATACGGACGGACAGACAGACAGACAGACAGACAGACATGACAAATCCATAAAAGTTCCGTTTTTTGCCATTTGGCTACGGAACCCTAAAAATTACTTTCAATAAGAATTACATGTCACCTATATTGAATAAAAATGATTCTATTCTATTCTATTTATAGAAAAAAAAAACACGTGTACAGTATGCAGTTCACACGCGGTAGAAGTGACACCTTTTTTTTTATAGGATCGGGTGACAAACGAGCACACAGTCTACCTGATGGTAAGTGGTTACTGTGACCCATAGACATCTACATCTATCCTCAATAAAGACTCAAGATGCAGATGCGTTGTCACCTGTGAGGACTAAGATGGAATGCCTCTTTACCAGTAAAAAGGGTCTCCGGTTCTCTACACTCACCATACGAAAAACAGCAGTAACCTGCTATTTTACACATGTATTCTGTGAGAGTGTGGTCCTTCCCCGCTCGAGCCGACCCATTCGTGATACAACTATACCAGTAATATAGCTGCAGCATGGCTGTACCACGTAAAAAAGGATTGAGGATGAATGTTTTAGATTTATAAATGGACCCGGTAGGTGGCGCTGTTGTCGAGATTCAGATATCACTCTTGCGAGGGCGGGGCGGATCGCTAGTATTAAATAAATCATTTGGCAGTAATTGGAAGGAAAGACTTTAGAAATGAGTTGGGGGGTGACTCTAACTTTAGGCCTAGTCAGTTTGAATAGCCTATCATGTGGAGGATGTCAAGATTGAATAGGGGCAAAAAGTTCTTATTACACTCCTAGGGGGTCAAAATGGCCAAAAACCAATAAAATTAAAATTCTTATTTCGGCTATAACGCCGCCTCCTTCGGAGGTTCTTACACATTAGTTAGAAAATCAGGTGGACTGTGTGCTAGTTTGTAACCCTATCCTATAAAAAAACACACATAAAAATTTATCAAAATTAGTCCAGTCATTTTCGAGTTATGCGGGACTAACGAACACCAAATGTATTTATGTATAGAGATGCTAATTTTCAATCAATTTAAGATAAATGTTTAATTTTATTTCTATAAATGCTATATCTAATCCTTATTTTTAGACATGTAGAGCCTAAATTTTAGTGTATTAATCTTTAAAAAAATATTTTCCTTTGAGTAAAATACTTTTTGATAGTGCCATCTATTTCATTCTATATGTAAAGTCATTTTATCGAACAAAACTTGATTGACTCTCAAGATGGTCTAAACACGACTAATTTAATATCTCTCTCATTCTCTCACAGGCTAAATCCTATAGATATATTTATTTTATTTTTATTTATTTTTTTTTTTTTTTAATATACGTTACCCCCACACTAGGATTTTCTCCTGTGTCGTGGAGGCAGTTTACAAACATAAATTGCACAAGGACAAACATCCAGACCCGGAACAATTATTTGTAGGCCATACAAATACTTGTTCCGTGCGGGAATCGAACCCGCGGCCCCCAGCGCAACAACTGATTGCTAAGCCACTGCGCCACGGAGCCATATATATATATATTATATATATATATATGTCCGTCTCTTTTTAGTGTTTCTTTTTCGTTTTATCGAGTTTCAAATTACAACGATTTTAAAATTCTAAAGAAGTTTTTACTTCAAAAACGTTCAACTATCGGAAGGTTTATAAAGTAAAACGAGAATTAACTTACAGGTAGCAAAAAGACGAAGTGAGGACATGCCAGGACGAGATGAGAGAGCCCACGCAGCGTTGAACTCGGATACCTGACGCCGGGAAGTGATACTCCAACGCCACGATATACGGGAACTCCTCGATGGTAATGGGGGTTCCGTCGGCGATCCTGCTTTCTGGCGCTGATGTCACTGATAGAACGAAATGTTAATATTTTTTTAATTTGTTCTACTCTATTTTTTGAGTCATGGTTATTTATTCCGTGGTTATGGTAGCTTCGAGATAGGTTAATCACCTTTAATTACTTTTCTTATTGCTGAGAAAGTTATTATATATTTCTATGCCAGTAAGACATGTGAATGATCTGAAATCTATACAAATAAATAAAATTGGAGTGTCTGTTTGTAATGTCAAAATTACAGCTTTTTACTAAATGCATATGAAAGTATATACGGTACTAATAAAAAAATACAATTTTTAAAGTTTTTGTCTATCTGTCTGTCTGTCTGTCTGTTTGTTCCGGCTAATCTCCGAAACGGCTGGACCGATTTTGACGGAATTTTGACTGGCAGATAGCTGATATCACAAGGTACTCCTTGGTACTACTAAGGCTACTTTTATTTCAGAAAAAGAATTAGGGTTCCACGCAAAAAAATTAAAACCCCCAAATAACACGCGGGCGAAGTCGCGGTGAACAGCTAGTAAATAAAAAAAAGCACAAATTGCAGAAACGAGTCAACCATGCTGCCCTAATGTAAGCTGGTCTTCATTAAATATTTTTATTTCACAAACAATTTGTCTTATGCCTTCACCACTGAGGGTTTGTTCCCCAATCCCCGCGGCAAGTTATGAGCACGTGGTGTAATTGGTAATAGCACTTAACATTACAATTAATAATTTTAGTGGTAGACACGAGGAAGTCGATAGATGCAGGTGATGCTGATCGTGTTTTATGGCAATCCTTGGGGGGTTCTATGTTCAGCAGTGGACTTCAGTGGTACTGTAATGGTAAGGAAAGTGTATATGTGTGTATGTGTGAGTGAGTGTGAATAGCCTGCCAGACATGGCACTGCACTGACAAACTGAACTGTCACATATTATTTTTTAGGATTCTTTGTCTTTGTTTTAAAAGTAAGGGCGACAAGCTAGCACACAGTCTACCAGTATGGTAAGTGCATGCATAGGCATTTGTTCTAGATTAAAATTCAAAATGCAATTACTTTGTCACCCAAGAGGGCTAAGATGAAATACTTCTTTACCAGTAATAAATAATAATTAAAAAAAAAAAAACTAAAAAAGCACGCTTTTGTAGATAACCTTTTTTACAATAAAACATTCATTTTATTGTAAAAAAGAGCGTGACTTTTGACGATTGACGCAAAACCCAAGCTGGATTATGATGCTTTTTACGCTGGTATTCTGTGAGAGCGTGGTCTACCCATACATGCTGCAGCCATAATACGTAAGTCTATTCTTAGAACTCTATTGGCCAGAGTCTATCCCTGAGTTTATTCCTTTGTTCTGCTCCTCCGTAACATTGCGTTATATTTTAGTGTTTGCATTTAATAATTAACAATTACTTACCAGCACAGACGAGGATCGATAAGGCACACAAAGTCCTCAGTATCATTTTTTTTGCTTCTTACTTGCCGGCTAAAAAAAAAACAATCCTTTTTCGAGGAATGCCCTATAAATACAATGTGATTATTTTTATCTACCTTTTTAATTATTGCTTAGTAATGTTAATGTACAGAGTGTTCCTTTTCCATTTTTTATTGCAAATAGTTGAAGAGGAGCTAAGTCGTTGTTTTAAGTGAAGATAGAGAATAAACAGTGTTTTCAATTTTAAAATGTACCTACGAGTTTTTGTGTTAAATCTATAAATATAATTAATTAAAAAAAAATACAACGCTAATTCCACTTTGAGTACAGATCTTTTTTTCAGCAAAGTCCACTAAATAGTCAGAAGATGCAGGGCAAGAACTCGTTCTTGGCTTCTTGGTGTTCCATCGGGAAACATCATCTCACTTTAAAATTGTGTTTAACATTGTTGACAGAAATTCCACCTTGGTGGTATCATGACCTTCCATAAAAACATTTTTCTAATCGATTGAAACGTGCTAAAGCTGCTGCTATAATTATTTCCGTGACAAGAAACCAGTAGTTTGATTTTTGCAGGTAAGTATCACTGCCCATGAATAAAATCAACACCAGGGGTATTGCAGGTGCGTTGCCGGCCTTATCCGCCGGTCCGAAAAATCGATGGGGGTCAGGGGCGTAGCTACCGCCGTATCAGCCGTATCAATGATACGGGGCCCCCGGGCTACAGGGGCCCCAAACGTGTGTGAGCAAAAATTCTAAGGACTTCTATGGGACAGGAAAGGCTATCACTATTGTCTATAGAAGTAAAGAATTTAAAAAAACTGAAATCGTCTTCAGCTATGAATGCAGCCGAATCTTCTTCAGCTGTGTTCGCCGAACAAAAGGCACGAAAAGTGTATATTTGATTTGAATTGTTTGGCTAGCTTAGTTCCTAGGAGTATTAATTGTAAGTAATAACTCAAAAACCCGTGTAGTGGCACGGGTGCAGTGGAGAAAACTCACTACCCTATATCTTCCCGTGGGTGGCGTAAAAGGCGACAGAGGGAAACTGAGGCAGAGGATGGGCAGCAGCATCTTTCTGATAACAGAAAAACAACAATAAAAATACTGCGGTTGCCAACCCGCTCGCCAAGCGTGGCAACTATGGCAATATACCCCTCATGAAAGTAACGAAGAGATGGCCCCCAGTCCCCGGCGGCCCCGCTATTACTGGCTACGGTGGCGACCATGGTAACGGCGGGGCAGGAGGTGCTAAGAATCTCCGGTGGAGGTTCTGTTGCCACCTACGCCGACTTGACCTGGCAACTTATAACGCACGCTCCCTGAGGACTGACGAGAAGATTGTGGAGCTGAAAGAAGAGATAGACCAGTTGCGCTGGAATGTCATAGGTCCGAAGAGAGGTGGAGGACACGGTAATCCTCTAATCCGGCAATTTGTTCTATCACCAGGAGGGCGACCATCTGTCCCAAGGAGGTGTCGGATTTATCGTCCACAAGTCTCTTGTTAAAAACGTTGTAAAGATTGGGAGTGTGTCGACGAGAGTTGCGTACCTTATACTCAGAATCACCAAACGGTATTCGCTGAAGGTCATAAAGGTTTACGCACCAACCTCGGAACACCCCGATGAGGAGGTGGAGGACATGTATGATGATATCTCTAAAGCCATGCATTCGTCCAAAACCTACTATACGGTATTAATGGGAGACTTCAACGCAAAACTAGGCACAAGAGAGAACGGTGAGCTGAAAGTAGGGAATTTCCGGAATAGGGCAACGGACCCCAAGGGGCCAGCAGCTGGCCGACTTCATGGTGAAAGAGGGACTCTTTATGATGAACTCTTTCGTCCAGAAGCAGCCCCACAGGAAGTGGACCTGGTCTTACCCCGACGGTTCGACAAAAAATGAGATTGACTTCATTATGACGACCAGACGACAACTGTTAAGTGACTGAAAGCGGTAGCGATCGCCGAATGGTGAGAGGCACACTGAACCTAACCGTTGAGTTGGAGAGGTCACGTCTAATGAAGTCAACGCTTCGTCCCTCGTGCTCTAATCCAAAGTCCCGCAACCTTTCAGTTCGAGCTACGAAACAGTTTTCAGTGCCTAGAAGATTGCAATGCAGTGGACGATATGAATGACAAGCTCGTGGAAACTGTCCATGCGGTCGGAGCTAAGTTTTGCAAGATCCGCCGCAGAAGAACACAAAAAATCTCCGATTACACTCTTGATCTCATGGCTGTTAGACGGGATATGAAGCTGCAGTCTTCAGTAGATTTGACAGCATACAGGCAACTGATCAGACAGATATCCAAATGCATGCGGTGGGACTTACGCAACGTTAATACTGCTCATATTAAAGAAGCGGGTGGAACCAGGACACAAAAGTCTTTGCTAGAGATCTGTCTGCCAGAAAGAGCCAACTGTCGAAGCTGAAGACCGAGTGTGGCAGCTTCGTTTCCGGGAAACCTGAGATTATGAGTGAGATTGAGAGGTTCTATGGATAGCTGTACATATCATCCTTGGAGCCACACGTAAGTGTGAGTAACGATCCAAGAGCGAGTTTTATCCGACACTATTCCGATCATATACCGGACGTCAGTCTGAGCGAGATTAGAATGGCTCTCCAGCACCTTAAAAAAGGCAAGGCCCCAGGCGAGGATGGAATTACAGCGGAGCTTCTGAAAGCGGGTGGAAAAACGGTACTTGAAGTCCTCCATGGTGGCATTACACCGGAGGCGTGGAGCAGAAGTGCGGTGGTCTTGTTCTTCAAGAAAGGTGACAACGCTCTCTTGAAGAACTACAGACCGATTTCCTTTCTGAGCCGCGTCTACGTTCTGTTTTCGAGAGTCATTATGAATCGTCTCGCGCGCAGACTTGACGACTTCCAGCCTCCCGAACAAGCTGGTTTCCGAAAAGGCTTTAGCACCATAGACCACATACACACCCTTCGGCAAATTGTACAGAAATCCTAGGAGTACAATTTGCCACTATGTCTGGCGTATGTGGACTATGAGAAAGCCTTTGATTACGTCGAAATTTGGGCGGTGCTGCAGTCCCTTCAGCGATGCCAAGTTGACTGTCGGTATATCGAAGTGCTGAAGTGCTTGTACAGTAGGGCTACGATGGCTATCCGAGTACAGAACCAGAGTACGAAACCTATCCAATTGCAGAGAGGTGTAAGACAGGGTGACGTTATATCCCCGGAACTCTTCACCGCTGCATTGGAAGACGTTTTCAAGCTTCTGGACTGGAAAGTATACGGTATTAACATCAATGACGAGTACATCACTCACCTTTGATTTGCCGACGATATAGTCCTTATGGCAGAATCGCTGGAGGACCTAAGCACTATGCTTAATGACCTCAATAGTGTTTACCAACGGATAGGTCTTAAGATGAAGGACAAAACAAAGATCATGTTTAATGTCCATGTCACACCTATGCCGGTATTTGTTGGGAGCACTAAGCTCGAAATTGTTGACGAGTATGTTTACCTGGGACAAATAGTCCGACTAGGTAAGTCCAAATTCGACTGAGAGGTCAATCGACGGATTCAACTCGGCTGGGCAGCGTTTGGGAAATTACGGCA